TTGGCTTAAAACTTGTAGTCAAAGCAAGTGCCAAGAAGCAATGTTTCTTTCTTTTGGGCTTCGGAGTTGAAAAAAAATTCCCGCGGATGTAATGGCGTTGAGCAAACATTCATGACGTTGCGGCACTCTTATATTTCAATTGTTTTTTGATCGCCGCATGTGGGCGGAAACCGTAAATTCCTAAAAGGCAATTTCGTGGAAGAATTTATTTCGGTAATGTCGTTTTGAGAACGAAATGGGCTTAAAGGAGTTGGAGGAAGTTAAGGTCAAGTCAGACTTAAGGGTGACCCGATGTAACAGAGACAAGAGTTGGAAGGGTCCCACCGCGAAAACCAGATGTTAGAGAAGCACAAATGAAAACCATGGTATTTTATAAAATCTCATCTAAAATCCATGAAAAATATGACTTACAATGTCGCAATAAAAAGCTATAGCTCGACAAAATGACTTGCGTCGCTTTTTGGCCTTAATCTCGGCTCCCTTGTAATGTGTGGGGATGGCTGTAATATTGCGGCAAAAATGGCAAGTTCTTATGTTTCATTAGACCACGATCCTTATACAAACAGCTACTTAGTTTCTAGACTATGAATTTTATTTCTTCAGCGGCACCGATCTCAACATTGAAAAAAATGGGTGATTTTGTATACAAACATGTACGTACATATGTATTAGGTTGTCCAACAAATAATGACCCTCTTCGAGAGGGTAAAGTCTAAAGTCTCTAAACAAGGTAATCGATGATGGAATTTCGAAATATTACACCATTTTGTAGCTGAGATCTCAGGCTTTCGTTTGATGTATCGCTTGCCATATTTGGACCAAATTACAGTAATTTAGCTCTAATCCAAAATTATCGAAAAAAGTCGGTTCGCGCTGTCATCTTGTACGGGCAAAAACAGGATGCGAAAGTTTCAGAAGCTACGTAAAGTATCAACGTCACGTTCGGCTAGTGTGTTCTGTGTCGGAATATGGTGAAACGGTGCTTTAAAAATTTTCGATCTGACGGCGAGGGACCCAAAGATAAAATACGGCATCCAGACTTTATGAATTTAGCCTGAGGTCATTGATTGACGCCCATCCTAGAATCAACATCCGACGCATCTGTGACATCGTCTGGGTGTTGAAATAATCGGGGGCTAACTATTCGACGTTGATTGAATTCAAAAAATGCTGGGCAACTTGCTCCCACATTATTGGATCAAAGCAAAGAATGGAGGCGCGACATTTCCCATTTTTGCGAGCCTGAAAACAATTTTCCTGGATCAGATCGTGGCCTATGATGAAAAGCGGGTCTTCTACGACAATCAGACGAGATATGCCTAATGGAATTCTCCGAGGGCGTCACCGTGGCACTTGTCAAAGCCCGACTCCCCCCAAAACAAGGTGATGACTACTTCTTGATGGTGCAGCGCAGGAATAGTAAAGTATAGTTTCTTGAAAGCTGGCCAAAATGTAAATACCATCCCCTATTGTATCCAGGTAGACAGTTTGTGGCAGCATCTGCCTTCAACGATGCGCCGCAGAAGTCCAAAAATTTTTCGCGGCAACAGGAACCTCACCGTTAAAAAATGACCTTCCAGAAGCCGATTTAATAGAGATACGAGACTGTCCCTCGTCCAGCGTATTTCTCAAAGCTGGCCTATACATACCACCATCTGTTCAAGAATCTAGCACGTTTCATCAGTGGTAGGGAATTCGACAATCAAGACGCCCTTGAAAAGGCCTTCAAAAGTTTCATTGGCTCCAGAAGCCGGGGTTTCTAAGCTACAGACATAAAAAGTTTTTTGGCACATTGTAATAAGCGTGTTAAAGCAAATGATAACTATTTTGATTATACAGATCGCTGTTATTACGATAAATTTTGCCGAAAAAGTAAATTTTTCAAAGAGGGTCATTATTTGTTGGACAACCTATAAAATTGGTGACAAAAATAAAAGATAGTTTCGTCATAACCAAAAACGATAAAAACTCAAATAACCCACCTTCCTCGAAGATGTGAGCGACAGTGAGCATAGCTTTCGCCGGCCAAGCGATTGGTAGTTTGGAGACTGGAGCTGATTGTGAGTGCGATGCCAATTCTCAAAAAAATACGAGATAATTTGTTAAAGAAGTTGCAGTATCACCGGAAAGCTTGCTAATCTAAATTGTTTTTGGAGCATGATAAGAATCCTGAGGGAACGCCTATTAAAAGTTAATCAAGAATTGATCGGCCATCCATTTCTCGGTCGATTATCGGGCTTTGCATACACAAGAAATAATGCTCAAGGCACAGCGGTGAGATTTTCGGGAGATCATCACGTTAAGATAGTCCATGGCATTTGCTAGATTCTTAGCTCTAGAGTTGAAGGAACTGCCGATATTTGTGGTTGAAAAGTCATGATTGCTGAATATTTGTGCTGCCCTTGCAAATTGCAAGTTAAGATTTTCAAGGATTGATTTATGGTGAAGTAAATATATCGGGTGTAGAGTGACAAGAAAATCTAAGCATTGTGCCTCGAGCAATTTCCATTTTTCCGTAAAGAAACAAAAAAATCGTCATCCGTTTAAACTAACAAGGGAAGTACTTGAAGTGTGACGCTCAGATTTTGATGAAACTTGGCATAAATTTAGAATAATTTTTTCTAAGATATATGCGAGAATCCTAGCTCGCGCTTTACAGAAACAACCGAGATTTTTAGATCAAAAGTCGGCAAAAATTTAGGACTTTTTGCCGAATTTCGGCACGAAAAGTTTCATGCCTATTTCAACTGTAAAGGATAATGTTTCTACAAAAAATCAAATTTTTCCGCACGAAACTGCCAAAGTTATGGCCAAAAAGCGCTTTTCTCTCTGACCGCTCTCCACGTTTAGTGTGCTCTCTCGGCGGCAAAAATCGTTCGATATCTCGGCGGCGCCCGCAAAGCGCGAGCTAAAACTTTCAGGAATTGATATTTAGTCCATACCCGATGTGTGTGCAAAATTTAAAGAAAATCTGAGCGTCACACTTGAAGTACTTCCCCTGTAAGACTGCAGTTTTGCCCCACTTGTACCAACCCAAACCAGAGGACCTACCGTATTCCATTCTTGTCACAATCAAGACAACTAACTTCCCCGCAAGACGAAATGACAAGTCTTATCAGCGAAAAAACAGCGCCGTGTTATCACGTAGAATTTTTTTCGCGAATAGCGCAGCCCTTAGACTGCAGGCCCGGTAACACGGAGCAATGAGCAGCCCCACCTTTTCTCGGTTGATGCGTTTTGAACGCCGGAATGGAGGGAAAGGACAACGGCTCGCAGTTTGTTTATGAAGTCGCGTGAACAACAAGAAATTAGGTTGAGACGAGAAAAAAGATTTTTAGAGGAATATATGACGTTAAAGGGGCAAATATTTAGCCTAAACGCTCCTGCAAACTCTTGAAATCATTTGCCAAAAACGAAAATTTATTTTTCATGGCTTCCGTCTAAGGTTTACTGTATTTTGCCCAACTATTTCCATTTTTACACTTTTCCGCTCATCCACACATTGTTCAGAAAGTCGAGTAAAAAGGCTTACGGTAACAGCCCCCACACACACGTACTGGTGGGATATATGCAAAACAATATACAGCTTTGTCAATACTGGCCTTACGAACCGGCCTTCACTTCACGTAGCTTATGAAACGCGATAAAGAGATCATCCGAAACAAACGACACCACAATAGAAATTTTAAAATACGGTCGCAAAATTCTTCCGCAGTCGTCGAAGATGATGCGGAAAAAGCAGAAAACAGAGACAGTACTCAGAGGGTGACGGCTGATTTTTTTTGGGTAAAGACTGCACTCATTTCAGACAATAATCTTTCAAAGGCTATGAGGAGGAGCGACCGAACTTCGAGCCCGAATTCCCACAAAAATCATAATTTATTATTCAAATTTGATTGCCCTTTTCCACGTGGGATTTCCCTATATAAGGGCCGCTTTACCACTCGGTAGATCACTTGAACTCGAGCTTCTCGTCTTGTCGTGTGATTGCATTCCCGGGCTTCTCAACAGGCGACGTTTAATATTCCAGCCTCTTCAGCAAAGAGCTAGCTGAAATTTCCCTCCAGGCCTAGCTACAGTGTCTACACAGAGGTCAAAGAAATTCTGAGTGCCGCACTGGAGGCACTTCCCTTGTAAACTCAAATCGGTCACAAGAAAGCTAAATAAAAACCCCAAGTTAAGTGACATTGCAAGCGCAAAGGAATCCAAAACACATCCCATCCCAAATTACCGTACTCCCCGAAGACGTTAAAAAAGTTGGAAACTCGCCGCAACCTATAAAAGAGCAACATTTCGGCATTGGGGAATCACAAAAAAACGCGATTCAAGAGCCTTTCAAAAAGTAATTTTGTTTGCTTTCGTAAAACTTTTGCACATGTGAGGAGGAGGAGGGCTATAAATCCCCAATGTGTTCGCTCATTCGATGACCCATTTGGCTGGATTAATGACCTGTTTCGGACTTTTTATTCGAGCGATCCGCAAAGGTTAAGACTTCAAACTGTTGTGTGCCGCGAGTTTGCGTGGGACCGAAACATCTCCATGCGCTTTCATTAGCATAACATCAATGAGCACGAAGGGCGAGGAAGAATGACCTTTTGAAGAGCGCGGATGTGATGGATAATGAGAAAAAGGGGTGAAAAGATGAGTGGGCGGGCACAGCAGAGGTTGGTCACATGAGCTACAGTAGAAATCAATGAGGTCAATCTACAGGGTCAGAGCTACGAAGGCGATGTTTGAGTTCTCATCAAATTCTATGCATGATTTCCAAGCAGACGGGGTATCGATTAATGAAAATTTTGGCCTTCGCCTTGCAACGGCGGTCGAGATTTTACCCTTTCGCATGTACGATTCCCACCTCCACCCACCAAAACAATTTGCAAAATAAATCTATTTTTTACTCGTGACGGCGATCAGTCTCGAGAACTTAATTTGTCACATGTCCACCATTAAGTTTTAATGCCTTCCGGGCCCACGGATCATGGCTAAGCAAAGGGGGGAGGTCATAAATTAACTTTATTGGTTTCCAAGGTATCGTTTAGAAGGCTTTTGCAGAAACAATAGTTCTCGGCATGTCGGACCTCACCGTATCGCTCGAAAACGCATCTCGCGTGAAGACTGAAGGTGTTGCGGCGAGGGAACGTGGTGGATTTCACGGCCATTGTGCCGTCGTTTTTCACCTGAAAGAAAGGGTGTTTTGTTCTTGATGAAGTGGAAGATATCCAAAGTATTGTCACATTCCTGTCAAAAAATAGACCATCCCGCTTGCCAACTTATTACTAGGCAAAGAACCTTACAAAAACTTTTCCAAAATTTACAAAAGCCTTGATTTCTCACCTGAACAAACGGATTATAAAGAGCATTTCCAGGGAACGTCTGAAACGTTACAACGTAAACTTTCTCCTCATATTTTCCCGGCATGTATTCCTCAATAACCGGTGTGAAACTTTTTGAAATCTCCAATGGCGTACAAATATCAGAATGGCCTGTCCTTTTGATCCAATTGTTCATGTAATTCACTGCTGTCTGGGCTAGCTTTGTTCCTAGTTCAGGATCTTGATGCCGTGGGCCGAGAGAGTCGCAGAGACAGTATTTATAAGAGATTCCGAGGGAGTCGCAGTTGCGTGGTTGTTTGAGTGGTCGAAAGAAGCTTGATCCGAGAAGTGACGGCAGGAGGTTTAGGGGCTCGGTTTGGTCCAGAAAGCCATTCTAAAATTTCAAACCAATAGTTCGTTGAGTAATTGCGGAACTTTTTTTTGATATCTATTGTAATGCTGCTTAAGCCAAGCTCAAATTGCGAGCTCAAAAATTTTAGGGCTCTCCTGAAGTTGTTCTTTGATGCAAGGTATTCAAATGTCGTTTCAATTTCCCCTCTTACCTCCAAGATGTCGTAAAGAGTTGCATAAACATCCAGCTGTGTGACCAATTGTTTGGATGCGGTCCGAACGTAATTCATTACTTTCTCATTATTCTGAGTTCTTTTCGGCGGGATATAAACCAATACCGGGTTGTAATCCTCGGTTCGGTCCCAGAACATGCTCTTGTCCGAGTAGATTCGATTTCCGTGATCCGCAATCAGGAAGAAGTGCGAGTTTTCGAACTAAAAATTCAGATTCAACTCAATTTTTTGTCAAAAAACAGGCTTCTTATAAGGTTAGCCACTTACTTTATGACTCTTAAAAAACTCTAAAAAGTCATCGTCGTACATGTACAAATCCCCTCGCCAATCGTGCATGAGGTAGCCCAGCCATGTTACTGTAAATTTGGGGTGTTCTTTATAGGCGTCGATAAAGTTGTCGAGATAATTGAACATTTCAAAATGCCTCTCACGGCAATATCGTGGCCAGACATTTGAGTGATAGAGAGATCGACCGTTTGGACCGACGATGTTGAGATGTTGGGTCTCTTGGAAGTTTTGTCGGAGGTAGTCAAAATATACCCTGAAAGAAGTACACATTTTATTGAGGTCTGAAAAAGATGTGTGTACAGTGGAAGGTTCGAAATGCCTGGGCTTCCCTTACGTCATAAAATGGTCGACCGGACTTGTCTGATTCTCCTTACAAGCCATCAGCAAATGGGCACTCCAATCTTCACTGAGCAGTGTCTTGTATCCCTTTTCTTTAAACTTCCTAAGAAGAAAGCTACTGTCATTTGAACAAGCCGATAAGACATTCCGCTCAATATAAGGCAAGGTCTCTCCATCTGGGTGAGTTTCGATTGGCTCGGTTAAATTTCCAAAAAGTAGAGCTCGAGAATTTCCCACGGTATCTGCTTGGACTTTGTTTTGAAACGGGAATGAGATGGCTCCCATTTGCTCGGTAATATACTTTAGGGTCTTTGGAAGGGCTCGACGGACATGTGGCATGGCCGCTGAATCGATGGCGAGGACATGAACGTCTGGGAATTCGTTGGGTTTCGATGAAATCTTTGGGGTAGGCGTGCCGAGACTGAAATTTATTATATATATTTTTTTGTGAGACCACCCTGTCGCAGTTTCTTATATATCTCGCAATCTCTCAATTGTTCCGCTTACTCTTTATAAATTTGATGATGAACAAAATCGTATGTTGTAACACTCCCCATTCTGCACTGAACATGGACAAAATCGCCTTGAGGCGCAGCACCATTGATACCAAACTCTTCCCATTCCAAAGGCTTTGGGTGGCCTTGAAGAGTGCCGATGATTATCCTACAAATAACAAATGCTTCATCGTCGCTCTCGGAATAAATCTTACTTATAATAGCATCTTTCGTTTTCTTCAATATCATCCATAAAAAGATTTCCATTGACCAAAGACGAACGTATTTTATCTCGCGGAGTGCATTTCGGCTTTGTCTTTCGGTCTTCGCGAATGATCTCGATAATGTCTTGATGGAAAGGGTTGACGTACACCACTTTACAACTCTCATTGTGAAGAAGGAGGTTTTCATCTAAAAAAGCCTCCGAGAAAGTCATTGTTCAGCTATTAATATCCATAGCAATTAAAGCCGTATTTTCAAAACAACTCCCCCAATCTCAATCTCACCTTCATACATCTCTCGCAAGACTGAATAGTCATATTTGTACCGATAATGGACATATACCATAAGATAGACAAAAACAGAAACAGCCAGGTATAATTTGAACGCCCGAAACATTAGCTTGACCCTCAAGTAATCGCCGAGAAACATGATGTCAATTATGGCGAGATCTCAGTTTAGTTCATTCGTCTACTCAAGTTATCTTCCCGATCTTATCGAGGAAGGAAATTACTTTGTTGGCTTTCACTTTTGATACTTTTTGAGATATAAATGATGAGGGTGGAAACAAATTTACTCATGGTCTGAACACAGCGGACCCAAATTGACTTATAAAAACATATAATGACTTATAATGAAATGATTTTTTTATAAGTCAATATCTGTTCTTATAAATCATTTTAAATGACTTATATGTTCATATATGATTTTATAAGGGTTCTCTGTGCGCTCTTGTTGAATTGACTTATAATTTCATATATGTTTTTATAAGTCATTTTATTTATAACTGCACCGTGCAAAAAAAAATGAAGATTTATTTCAATCTATAACTCAAACAATTAAGCGGCACAAGTAGAATAAGACTTCAATGCACGAAGGACCTGAGATTTTTTGATGGGGCGTTCGTCGCTTCTGTAGGCGGCCGTAGATGTATATTATTGCTTCTAATGCTTCTGGTTTCACTGAAAATATTTGGAGATATTAGAAAAAAGTTTTTTTTCGGGAAACTATAATATGAGTTCGGCTTAAACTCAATTTTTTATGCGTTACATACTAACAGTAAAACATATGAATTTGAACTGCCTAAAAGGTTTCTGGCGGAAAAATTTTTAGACATGAAATTTGCGATATTGTACTAGGTTCAGGTGAATGTTATCAACCATACCTGAAGCTACCGGATGTCATCTTTCTATTCATCGTGTATATATTCATCGTGTGTCCATTGGATTCCCCCATGACCATTTTTGTAGTTATCTAAAACCCAACGGGTTCACCTGGACCTAGTACAATATAACAAAACTTTGTCTTGAAGTTTTTTCGAGACCTCTGAAATGTGGAAACAGTTAAAAAAAAACACCTACCAAAATTGAGCAAATGGATCCTTTAGCAATCCGTTGGTTGATCGTGCATGTTTATACATCTTCTGGGGATGGATCTTCTTCAGGCTGGCATGCTCCCAGCACGGGAAGGCTATTACGTTCGGGACTTTTCATCTAAACACTCTAAACTCTTGTAAAACAAAAAAAGGCTGATTAAAAGCACCTTACTTTGATCGATCCAAGGTAAAAATACGTCGCGACGTTCCAAAAACTTAGAATTTCACAAGTCCAGCTCACGCGTGCACAAAGGAAAAAGCGTATTTGGCGCTCAAAAGTTTTCTTTGCAAAGAACTTATTTGTTATTATAAGTTCTTACTTGTTTTTATAAGTAAAGAGAGATAAGCCCCTCCTCTTTTGACGTTATTTTGACTTATAAGTCATTATCTGTTCATATAAGTCGTTATATGTCTTTATAAGTCAATTTGGGTCCGCTGTGAACGGGTTTATTAGTTATTAAAAAGCTGCAACAATAAAGAAAATGCGGGGTAAAATAAATTATTAGCTGGTTTAAAGGTAGAGTAAAATACAGTCAAGCCTCTGTACAACGACATTCAACCAAAAAATACTGAATTTTTAGAAATCTTGCATACAGATAGAATTAAATGCCGTACTTTAAAGGCCCTTTGTGGCTAGCTTGTTTGTATAATAATTGAATAAATACAAGGTGTTCGATCTTTGTGGCCTTCTGTACTTCACGACGAAGATGGCGAGATTTCTGTAGTCCTGCCATATATTGGTATTAAAACAAAATGAGCGATTCTGAGGGTTCAGGGAAAAAAAGAATCTTCAAATTAGGTCGAAAAATAAAGAAGTTTTAGCGAATTCAAATCGGGCCACAAAGATGGAAGACCCTGTACAATGAGATTGAAATAAGATCGGCTTTGGTAAACGAATACACTCTTTGGAGACAGAAAGTGAAAATATATAAAAGCGATATTAGATAATGAGCAACTAACAGGAGATATTGTCGGGCTTGGCTGCTGTTTCAAGCCACAAAAACTTCACAAACAATCAATAAATCTATGGTTCCGGCTTCAGTAATGGATGCTGATCCACACCCACCAAACCGGGAGACAACACCTGCACCACATACCGATTACCCGACCAGAGACCATAAGTGAATATCGAGGGTGACAATACCAACACATTCATTGCATTCGGCGACGCTATACGCATTACTCCCGCTCCAGGAGACAACACAATCGCCGAGAAGGATTCCGGCGACAAAATACGGGCATCCAACAGCTTGGGAGAGAAGATCTTGGCCAAAAATGCTTCTGGGACCATAATCCAGGCGATTAACATCAGTGGAGAGAACAACATAAGGCGGAAGGCGGAGGGCGACAGGACTCGAAGGACCAACACAACCGGCGAGAAAATGGTCGCAATAAATGCACGGGGATTGATGATTTCCATCTGAAATGGAAGCATAAGTATTATTATACATAGCAAAAGCTCTCTACAAAAATAAACTATGCCGGCCGAAAGAAAACCTTTCGAAATGGCCAAGCAAAAAACTTGGTAGGCAAAAAAATGTCAAAATAATCGCCAATGTTCCAAAAATCGCCACTTACGTTCAACAACGTTGGTGAGAAGACTTGCAAATAAAATGCGTACGGTGAGATGACATAATGTCCCAAAATATTGGGATTTGAGATCCGTTGGGTGAACGCAAATGGATCCAAATCTCGAAAATCAAAAAATGACGGCCTTCTCGGTGGGGCTGGAGCCTGGCGTCGTGTTCGAAACGGCATATCTGTTTTTTCGTCCATTTTGCCGACTTTTATCGTGGATTCGTCTTTTTGGTATCTTTCGACCTCCGCAATTTCTTCCGGCGTCAAACTTGAGAGTTTGCGAATTGTCTTCTCGAGAGCCGCGTCTGGATCCTCCATATGAGATTTTACATCCACATTGTAGGCGGGGAGAACTCCTGGAAAAAAAGATTTTTTGTATTTTTTGAGGATGTATAAACCATGCTTTTTTATGTATAGCTAAATTTTTTTAGATGTTGATAAGTATTCTAGGTAAATTACATTGATAAAATCAGAAGAAAATTCGAAAAATCCTTGATCAGAAGGCCTTATAAACACCGTTTTCAGCTTTTTTCTCTCACCCACCTTTATCGCCATACATCATCTCCAGTTGTTTCGCATTCAACGGTGCATACCCAAACTTTTTCATTTGCCTTCGTTGCTCTTCCGACGACATGGAATGCACTTTATCGTAATGTTTCTCCATCTTCTCAGTCTCCAACAGCCTGGGGTAGAGGATTTCGTCGACTGTTTTCATATGCTCCCCAAGCCGTTGGACATGGCCGTTCAACATTTTCGTGCCGCCGGTAAAATCAAGGAGGAGGTCGAGCCATTTTAGGGTTTCACATTCATCAGTGTTGCTGAGCTAAAAGTTTTTTTGATTAAAAAACTTGTACTACTAGACAAAAAAATTTTTTTGATAGCGGTGATTTTTTTGTTGATTTTTTGTTGCTATTTGATAATTTTTTGTTAGTATTATAGACAAAGTAATTTCTTAAAATTCGCAAATTTCTCGATAAGATCTCCGAAAAGAATTTTTTCTCGCAGAACTCAAAAAATATTAAATCGAGATGAGAAGCTATACGCCGCAAGTCAAGAACTTCTTATGGCGTATTCTTTCGTGTGTATTCATATTCATTTACAACAAAAAATAATTTTTCTGTGGAAAATTTCATCCTTGACGTATTTTGATGTAAAGAAGCGTATTTTACCCTCTTTAAAACTTGCCTTAAACAGTCTTGGCAACGGTAACATCCCCTCGTCTTGGAAGCTCAACATGTTGGGAGACATGTATCGTTTGGACTCCGGATCCTGTTGATCTGGCATTAAATTGAAGAGTTTTGGAGATAAAATGGAGATCACTCCTTTGTCATCAAATTCTTCAATTTGCTGCATCATTTTTTGCATCTCCTCGTAGGGCGATTTCCCATTCGGAGGGCGATTTTGAAAGGCAACATTGTCGTTCATCTCTTTGAAAAATCTGAAAAGATATCTGGTTGTAGGACACTTATTTTGTAGCAATCTTTCGCTTAAAAAATTTGAAAGCATTTTTGCGGAGGGCTTCAGTTCTATATCAAGATTTTTGAGAATCCAAGTAAGCTTACTTTTCATTTGATTTCCCCATCCTATAAGTAAATCGGATGACGTGATTCATCTTATCGAAATATGACTGAACATTCCTCAACAAGGCCACATTTTTCGGGATTTCACATCGTTTGCTGACATTTTGGATTTGCGGTTTACCTTAAAAATTTATTGTTTTTATACATTGTTTTATTACATAAGATTTGACGGGGCTTCGGTAGTTCAGCCCCCCACGAACGGTAGTTCAAACCCCCACTGTTTTGTCCGCTTCACACCCCACACATCAACCACAAACAGAATGCCAAGATTTTTGGCATTCGGTTTTTTAAGAGTCTCTAATGTTTTAGCTTACTGTGCAGTGGGTAATGAACAAAATAACATGAACCTGCGATTAAAACATTGCCAAGGACCCATATTTTTTAAATTAATAGATTTTGGCGTTCTTCGGCCACCAGGTTAGCGACAAACGGCCGGAGAAAATCGAATTTTTGCAAACTTTGCGGCAGAATAACTTGTCTAAAACGATTGAAACACGGAAAGTGATTGCAACGATCTTCAGAATATTGCATTCTAAGGTAGTATGCGAAGTTTGAAGCAAATCGGACAGATAATAAAAAAGTAGATGCGATTTTAAGCTTTTTTACCTTATGGATTATATTACTTTGGGCAGCTTTTAATGTCCGACAGCGTTAAATAGTCTAATTAATTAACTATATTATCTCATAACATCCTGTTAAGGGAGATTAACTGCAAAAATTTTAACTCTTAGGTCGAAAAAAAGTTTTACCTTATAGTAGCATACCTGATCTTATACCAAAAATAATGAAAGTTTATGACTGAAGTCAAAGTTTTAAAATTATCTATGTAAATTGAGATGGCTTTCTAAGGCTATACTGAGCTTTTGGAGTTGGTTTCAACTTCGCTGCGCCAATTTCAAAAATGGCCAATATCACCTAAAACAAGGTTCTTAGAACAGCTTCTAAACTGGTGCGGATGCCACTAATTATGCTCTTATTGTCTTTTTAGATCATAGTGGACCTAGCTGAGTCAAAATTTACAGATTTTTAAAATATTATTTTAGTCACCTAAATATCACTTTTTTTGGAATTTTGAGTGAGTAAGCTAGTATATGACACAGGGTTGCTTATTGTTCTCTAAAAATACTCTAATTATGCTCATAGAAAAAAGAATTTAGGCAATTGCTTCGTTACGAAACGATTTAGTAGCAAAAGATGTCTAAAATAAGGTTTTCAAATCTACTACTACTACTATTTTTTGGTCAGTCCGACTCGTTTCCAATTTTTAATTTGAGCTACCCTTGGGCACCCTAACAAAGTTATGCAAACAGTTTTCCCGATTTGAAACTTTTTTTTTTGTGGTTGATGTGCCCCACATAATGAACAAGTTAGAATAATACAAAAAATGTAAGAGGGGGTTTGATCTACTACGTTGGGGGTTTGACCTGAAACGTAGGGGGCTTGTGCTGGACCATACAACTTGGATTAATTCTTTGAAATAAATTTTGGGGTTCAGAATGGACGAGGGGGGTTGTACTGGGTTATGGGGGGCTAAACTGGACTGGGGGGTTGTACTACCTTAGCCCCGATTTGACATACAAAAATAACTCACTTGTCTCCCTTTTCCTCAGCCTTTTGATGTCCAATTTCGGTCGCCTTCGCTCCCAGCGACTCCTTTCTTTCCCTTGAACCTCTGGCTCTGGATTGTTGAACTTGATTGTTCGTTGATGAGGGCCAAACTGAAAAACTCGACGTCTGAGAGCATCGAGTCGAGAAGTTCGATTGTATCGAAGTCTCGCCGGATACAGTGTGTGGATTATGCGTTGTGCGGGCTTTGGAAAAAGGGATTCCGACGTGGTGTGGTTGGCTTTTTTGATGTCTGAAAGTTTGGAAGTATGAAATTGGACATAAACAATTTTTTAAATGCATTTTTTTCAAGAAAAAACAATGCTACACAACGTATTTTAAAACCCACCAATCTTCATTGTGAACTCTTTTTTCTTCTTCTTTTCCTCTTCATTCTCCTTATTTGGACATCCAAATGTCCTGTATATAGTCCTCATCAGTCCCATAACCCAATTTCCATCGCTATGATCAAAATCACAATTATTATCTGCTGGAATATCCTCTACAATATCCGCATTCATCTTGTCTCTGGTGTCCAAAACTCGATTCACACACTTGGCCATGGCCAAAACTGTTTTTGCAGAAGACGCGCACTCCTTGAAAATGACTTCTTCAGAGTTTGAGAGCTTCCGGAGCTCTTTTCTGGCCTTGGCCTGGAAATCACAAGTCGTTATTGTCTGTTCAGTAAAACCCCTGTGCAATAAACTCATGAACAAAAAGATATGCCTCTAAAGAACGACTCTAGAAGCCACAGGAATCAATACATATTAGGCCAAAATAAACCTCCGTAAAATGAAACGCCTATACAAAAAACTTTTTTTGACTTTTGCGATTCGTTTTACGGAGGCTTGAATTTTGATTACTAAAAAAAGGGTTTTTAGATTGTTTGATGACTTACCTCAAACAGCGCCACTGTTGTTGCTCGATGAAGAAACAGATCAATGTATTCTGGATGCAGTTCAAACATTTGATCCGCGCCTGAAAAGAGATTTGAAGTACCACAGGATACGACAGCAGTTTTTCCATAAATGGTTCACAAAAAAGTTGTTTGTAAATTGCGATAAAAATTTCTAGCAACTGAAGAGTTTGTTATAGACTCTCAGACTAACTAAAAAAATTTATCTGGCCATGAGAGCCAGATAAACTTTTCCCGTCTAGCCGACACTCCTAGTTTATCGTGCTCTTTCGGAAACAAGCTTTTTTTATTCCGGCCGCCACAAGTCAATTTTTGCCCTTGAAAAATTCGGCAAAAGTTTTGTTTTCACCCAATATACACAAGTCTTAATCCGTGACTTACCTCTCGCATCATTCCCAACGGCCATCAACAAAAATATGATCACCCTGAACCATTTCCACCTCCTCCATTTCATTCGAGTGCCACTGATCGGCGCCATTAGCCGTTCAACAAGTCCAGTTCGGGAGGTCGAGATGCGACCGTCTGGATTTGTTCCGGCAGCAACAAGCACTCGGTCCGATGACAAAACTCTCGCCGATATGAAACTTGTGTGTGTTTAAGGTGAGAGCCGGCGCTTCAAGTGCAAAAAAACATTAAACCCGCTTCAACTTTGAGCTTTGGTATTCCGAGGTATGCGAGAATGCAGTAGAGTAAACATGGGGAAACTGTGTCATGCAGCAATGCCGCTGGCTCGAGAAACGGAAACGAATTTGCATGACGGATTGGATTTTGCGAGCCGAATACGTGTTGCATAAAAGGGCAAAAATTGTTGCGGAATGGAAAAGTTTGAAAGAATGGGCAAGAACTGCTGGGAAATCCGTACTTCGTATGATTGAAAAGTTATTTTGCTGACAAAAGAAGTGCTCAGTTCGGCTCACAGTTTTTTTTTTTGAAACTTGGCACAAATTTTACATTTTTTTCTATGACCTACGCGAGATTCCAAGCACGCGATTTTCATAAACAACCAGACTTTTTTCAGTAAAAGAGCGACAAAAGTTGACACTTTTTTGAAAGCTACTAGACACGTTCTACGGAGGCAAAAACGTTAGTACTTTGCAACTCGAAAGTTGCAATTTGGCATCCCTTCCGGGGGTAAAACAAAAACTGAACCTTTCACCAATTCCTGTTCGAAACAAAAGCATTAACGGTAGACTCCTCGCTCTGTAAACTCCAGACATATTCGCATAATTTTTGGCGCCGTTCTGGGCGCGCGTTTATGAGGTGACGGTTCATAGGTCAATGGGAGAAATGTGGCATAAATTAGCTTAAAGTTCAGAGGGCACAGTAACTTGGTTGATCAAGCGGTGGATCAGAATCCCAGATATCTTTATTATACACATGAAAACGAGTCCAATTCTGGCCAAGTTTTTTCCCTGAGAACCTTGGCGAAGTTTTATTATCTATCATATTTTCCGAAGAGTGGCCCTTAAAGCACCTACATAAACCATTCACTCCCTCTAAAAACCAAGTCCGCAAAGTTGACCGCCGTAATCTCGCAACAGAATTTATGAGAAACGTCTAACGGTGGCGACGATATTTTGTCTGAACTCCCCGATATTCAATATTTTAACTCTTGGCGCCGCAGGTGATGGCCTCTTTTCGCTAATCGTCCCCTTCTTTTTTCCATAATACAGAAGGAATTGGGTGAGAAGGACGGGAGTCGGAGAGTGCATAAAAAAATGGAAGTTTCACCCAGATCGTCTTCAGATGGATTTGCTGTGTCTTGTAAGGGAATTAGACTAGAAAAGCTAACAGTTTTAAATAATATAAGGGCACAAGTTTTGGCTCGAAAATTAGGGCTATGGCCAACAGCAAAAAGAGATGGTACTTGTAAGCAAAATCAAGCTTATACAAAAACTAGTCTAAAAAATTATAATATTTTCGACATGGTGTGAACTGAATGAAGCTGGTCTGGAAATCCCTGAACGCTCTGACGAATCCTGGCTCCAAACAAAAACATATTTTTTCTCATTACTTGTGAGATCTTTTACCGAACAAATCCAAAGAGGAAACAAATACAGATTCAAGCAACGTCCCAAAAAAAGTAAACCACTCATCAGTGTCATTTGACCAAAGAGTGATACTTTTCTCAAAAAAAGCAAATTTTTCCATCCCGTAGAAAATGATTTGTTGTCCCATTATGATGAACTTTATGGAAAGACGATACACAGGTTGAATGTTTGAATAGTGAGGATTGTATGTAATTACACTGTTGTTACATATAATATTATTTTTATCACGGAAAATAAATTTTCTGATGTATTGAGTATAGCGTCGATGTTTTTACCTGTCTTCCATAACAAGATTTATTCTTCAGCCTCCCGATTCAACCTTTCTTTAGAGTGTTGGCTTGTGCAACCGCATTGTCGAAAGATTTTACGAGAATATTTTTGCGGAGATGGCTAGGACGTTGCCGAATCTCGAAAAAATAAGACTTATGCTACCGGCACGACACTACCCAATGGCTTTGTAGCAATGTTCATTTCCCTGCCAAAACGCATATTATATAATCGACCTCCCGCCTCAAGTGACCCGCCATTTCAGGGCCAAGATCAAAGGGAGTTTCAAAAAAATTAATAGAAAATTTCTCCGCAGGTGCACCGGAAATTTTCGACGAGGTCTGGAGGTAGAAGTCGATGTGTTGGGCAACGATAATATATATATCTGAGAACGAGCTGTGTGGTAATCAAGAAGACCATAGGATTTTGTAGAGCCTGCGGGGGCAGAACCGTGCAAGAATTTTTTATAGAGACCGTGGGTTATTCCATGCAGCTTTAAGCCTAGTCTCAATAACGGAAGGAAGTGGTTGGAGATTAGCGCACATCTTAGACGACGAAGTTCAAACTTCTCTTCTTCAACAACCGATAAAAATCTAGTAAATTAACCAACATCCGTGTGATTAATGATGCGTTTTGCAAGTCTTTATTTCGTATGTCTTTAGCAAATTTATTGTCTTGCCCTTTCAATTCTAGATTATAAAAGATTCATGTAGATGTTGCATTAGCCTTTTGATTGTGTAGAAAAATCAGTCTTTTCCACGCTAAATTCGTAGACATTTGGTGCGAAGGTGTTTTCCATTGGCCGCTCTTCACGTTTTGTCTACACGCTTGCGGTAAAAATCGTTGAATTCCTCAGCCATCTCTGCAAAGTGCAAGCTGAGGCTTTTAGGAGATTGATACGCAACATACAGATAATTCGTGTGCAAAATTTCAGGAAAATCTGGGCGTTGCACTTGGTATATTTGTTCATAACTTGATAACTCATGCTTCATGGCTTCCATGATGCAACTGCTCCAGTGATCTCTGCATTAGACGGCTGAAAAAACCACTCTCCTTTTCAAAATGTCTCAAACTTTGCACTCTCCGTCAACCATCCATAAAAGACGGCTCTGTCATGAAACTTGCGGTCCGAACCGTCGCTTCCATAGACGCACTAAAGTGAAAACCGGCATACGAAAAAAACTTGGGTTGTTCCGTCAATTTATCAATTCGCTTTTTTTGTCATAAAAATTTCTGGATTTAGCCGACGCCGCGAAGAGAATGTTCGAAATGTTTACTTTTACTGTCGAAATTGTTTTTGAAGCTGCGATTTTTTCGAATTTCCAACTGCGAAACTTCCAAAAAATTTGTTGATGTCTATGACTGTGAAACTTCCGGTAGAATTTTTCCAGTTTTATCTTCCGTACAATCAGTCGATATTGTGGTTTGCGGCGTGGGATTGTGGTGATGGGAATGAAAGCGATCTTTTCGAAAAGAACGTTAAATTTCACTGAAAAAATTTTGCTTTCGCTCGCTGAGGGAAATATAAATTCAGGGTATTATTTTCTACTTGTAAGACATAAGATTTTCATAGCTCATCAGAGTAGACTAACCAGGGAAGTGCCTAAAGACCAACGCCCGGGGAGCTTTTTTAAAGCTTGCACCCAAATCAGAAGATCTTATTTTTATACTTTCACTTATCTTGAACTTTACTTTTTTTGATTTTTAACTTTATTATCTTCAGTTACAATTTTTTTATGTCCTGAATTTCTTCGTATTTCTTTCACCTACCGTTTTTTCAATTACCACAGACAATTTTTAAAATCCACGCTAATGAAAAGAATAATTAAAATCGTGTCTGCGGGGAGAGGAAACTCAAAATTTCGATCAATTAGCATTGAACTTTTGTCGATGAAAGTTTCCCCTGAAAAAGCAACGCTTTATGGTTTGTAGGTGGAGATCAAAGAACAAAGGGATGGAAGCTTGTTGCGAAGATTGGGATTGACACAAATGATATGTTGAAAACGAAGAGCTTCTTGTTCTTACTCTGGTTCACGAATACACTGATGGGGGTGTATCTTGGGGCAAGGACGGGGACAGGTGAGGACTCGTGAATGATACAGTAAAAATTTTCATTATCCGGTGGCTTAGATGTTCGATTGAAAGAGGACGAAGAGGATGATTTCACTTGTTCCAAGGTTCTGAAATTATGTGAAAACTTTGTGTAGACGATGATTAAATTTGCATTATATATAGCACATGTTTTGCCGTCCTAAAAGTTTTTAAAAATTCTTTTAGTTGTATGTACGTTCTTCCAATTACTGCTGTATCTCTTTGTCGGGAAAATAATGTGGATTCGTCACGCGTTGAAATGTCCCATCATCGCTTTGCGAGGTCTACCCGTGGCTAGAGATTTGGTGCACTACTGCGACGAGGCGATACATTTTACTGCGGCCGGTCCACATTATTTTCCCGACAGTCTGATTGCAAAGTAAAGATCTTTAGGACAAAAAGACACAAAGTTTACGAAAATACCCAATGCCAAAAATTCTTTAGATTTACCAAATATTCATAAAGATCGCTAATGATATGATAACAGTTATATTTCAGACAGAAAGCAAGAATTCGAATTACATCCTGAATACATTGATGCGCTGTTTCATAGAGCTTCCACCTTCGCTTTATTTGACGTATGTTCTAATCATAACAATTCAATTCAAAACTATTTTCAGTCCAAAGCAAAACGATTGCTTGAAGACCTGACTATTCGAGACAAAAATATCTACGACTCTTGCCGTAGGAGAGCAAAGAATGTGATTGATATGGCAAAGTGTGTAGAGAGACTGCTCGATGAGAGGGATAAAAAGGAAGAGGAATTGGAGGCCACGACGGTGACACCAGAAGTCAAAGATGATTGCAGGGTTAATGAAGACGATAATGATGGGAATTGGCTTCGAAGCGCGTTTTTGAGTGTTTACAGAAAGTTTGCATGCCCAACAAAAGTGGAAGGCCAAGGTAAATAATCGTTTTGAAATTTGGTCATCATTTTTGGGTCTCAATTTTAAGAAGTACTCAAATTTTTTGACAAATCGAGAAATAAGTTCCGCATGATTTCATTTACCATCAAAATCCTCTCGAAATCTCTCGCCGAACATTTGAAGATTAACGATCAAACTTTTTAACAGCCTTTTCAAGCCCTTTTTTCACTTTTTTTCAACCTTAATCTAGCGATACTTCTTGTTTCAGATTCACCAAAAAGAAGGTCAAACCGTCTGGAAAAGTTGCAATCAACCACAAAAGGAGACAAAGGGAAGCCGAATAAGATTGTAGAACCGAGTCATAAGTCAAGACTAGAATCATTGAAAAGGAAACAAAACCTTGAAAAAATCAAAGCCAAGTTAGCGAGAAGGAAGAAACGAGAAGTCAGTGAGTCACTTTAGTTCGAGATTGATGCTTAATTGACTTGACGAGGGAGGTCGTACTGTCCACAATTAAGTCGAGGCAAAAGGGCCTGTTTTGTTTGCTTTGGAGTGTCCGGAAACTTTAGGGTTTACTGTGATTACGGCATCTTGGCCCTAGCTTTCGAAAAAATAACCTTCAGTTTAGCCGCCAAAAAATGAGCTAAACTGTCCGGCAAGCTATCAAAGTCAAGCGAAGATGCCTTTGGAATTTTTTCCCTATAAAATATAAACCGTTTATATCCCACCTCCGACGAGCTCACCTTCCAAAAGTCAACTAGGCACAAAAATTTTTTTAGCATACCGCAAAGTGTTCAACGTTTCCCGTCGATGTGACACTCCAAGCAACGTAAAGATCTTGCGAGATGTCCGCGATTACTTTGAACAGATGAACCATGTCATCAGATACACATACGGCGCTGGAAAGGACAATGAGCAGTAAGACACTACCGCTTTCTTCACAATAGTCAATACGATTCTCCAGGTTTCTCCGTAAAATGGATGTCAATGTCACGTTTGAAAATCGAGCCCCAGATGGTCAGAGTCCGTATGAGCAACTGAGGAAGAGCCTGGAGGAGATCGAAAGCTATGATGACAAGGGAGTTGTCTCCGTTTTGTCGCCAAAGCTCTTCAATATCCTGCCAGAAGGGCCTATGGATCCCGAGTCCAAGCGATGGCTGTCTCCCAACATGCTCAGCTTCCAGGACGAGGGAATGATACCCTTGCCGAAGTTGTTCAAGGTGAGTGTGGTCCTTTATAAAGTGGATATCATATTTTGTTTAAAGACTTACATCCGTAAAGATCGTAAATTTCGTTGTATATTCTTCTAACCCTTTAGCTGTAGTACTACGGAAATATTATAAAATGTATAGACTCTACGCTGAAAAAAAGGAAAAATCTTTGTCTTTCAGTGGAGTAAATCGGATGACTGTGAGACCCAACGGTGGATTGAGCTTCTACTCGATATTACTGGCGGCAGCAGACTCCTCGGCGGGCATGTTCGTCGGTTTGGCAAGCATATGCGAATAGTCAAAAGAGATCTCTACCCCAGGATAAAAAGATCCGAAGAAACGGAAAATCAAATGGCTGAGATTCGAAACATGACCACAGAAGAGCAACAACAACACATGGAGAAATTTGGCTATGCTCCTATGACCAGAGAGCAACTAGAAATGGCCTATGGAGAGAACGGTAGGACTGAAGAAGTGAATTATTGATAACAATTTTTAGGTGTGCGACCAATGCAAGTGGACCTAGACAACCCTGCGATTGAAAATGACCGTAACTTGGAGCATGCAATTAGACAGTTGGCTCAAATGACCCCTCAAGAGTTGATGGAAATGGCCGAAAAGGAAGGGAAGATTCCACCCAGAACAACAGCTTTCCCTCATCGATTTAAAAGAGCAACAACGGCGGCACCATTGAGGAGACCGTCAATTTTTGATTTCCGATTCCTCAATCCGTTTGCCTTTGTATCGCGGATTAATAATCCGAATTTCCTGGGAAATTATATCATCTCGCCATTCGCATTCTACCTACAAGTATTCTCGCCTTACATGCTGGGGGTAAGTATGATTTTTGAATTTGAAAAAGGTCTAAAAGTTGCGCAGCTTATAACCTACCCATTTCCAATTTCAGGCCGATATCATCTCTCCTCGGTTCATGATTGCCACCATTTTCTCACCGGTGGTCTTGGTGTTCCGAGTCCTTGCTCCGACCGCTTTCCGTCTTATGTTGTTCTCACCGCTTCTGTTAGTTGGCTGGGTATTAGTCCCGGAGGCATTTTTAGCCAAGATCTTCGCTCCGAAAGTTCTGGATGGCCGTGTTTTGTCACCAGAATCTTTTTCGGCCATCGTGCTGAGCCCTGGAGCCGGTGTTCTTCGTGTTGCATCGCCAAATGCAATGAATGTCCTTGTGTTATCTCCCTCTTTCTTCACTTATGGTCTGTTCTCCGGTAATCAATATGTTTTCCAAGTTTTGTCGCCTGGTATTGTCGGTATTGACTCACATCCCATTTTGAAGCCAAATCCGTTCTAGGAAATGTAGCTCATCTAAGGTTCTATTGATTATTCAATTGTTGTCTTTTCAGCGCTTCCCTGTTGTTATTAATATACATGTGTATACTCCAAATCTCTGATCCTTTACATTCCATATTTTCCATGAAATTCCACTGCAATAAATAACAATTAATAAGGATCAATCTGTCGGGAAAATAATGAGCATACTGTCGCATCGACATGGATTGTCGCCGAGAAAAATGAATTGTCAAAATCAACTTTTTTCTTATACTTCTGCGTGAACAAAGGAGATTTTAAGTATCATTTCGCTTACCTTGTAAGGTTCCCAAATCTCAGCAAGGTCATTTACCAATCAAATCACCACTTTTCGTGTCCGACGACCATTTGTAACAGCCCTCACCAGCGCAACCAGTCGACTATACACTTCTATCGCTGAACTTTTCTCCCGAAATGAAAGTTCAAACCGTCGTTCAAAGCTCAGAAGTGCGCGAAAAAAAAGAATTTCCACTTTCAAGTCTATGCCCAACCTTCCGAAGACGCTTGAAAAACTTGATGAACTTGATGGTAAAAAGTGAAACAGATGCCCTTTTCACTAGCCTACAATTATACTTTCTCCGCGCCCTGCGTCTCCATCAATCCGTTGACGTTTGACGGACAAATTTCGGATAATTCGAAAAAAAACGAATCAAAATGTTGCCGTCTGCTGCGACGAAAAGACTCTCCTCCAATTAGCATTGAACTTTCGTCGACGAAAGACTGCGATGCGAGAGAGTTCATGCCTTGCTGGGTAATCACAAAGTAACATGTCGGAAACTTGTTGCGGAGATTGAGTGCAATTCGGAAGATGCGGGTGAATGCGAAGACGGGTCTGTTCTTGCTCTGGTTTGGCAACATGCTATTGTATTGTGAGGCGAGTGCTGGTGAGTTGAGATGAGGCTTCAAGGAGGATACTGTAGTAAAGGTTCCATAAAGTATGAACCTCAAATCCTGGAAGCTGTGGAAAATTTTTGCTCACGCTTTGAACAAAATAACCTTGATTTTTTGGGAAGACCGCCAATGAAATTTGAGGCTTTTAGTTTATTTTACGCCTACTTGCGCAAAGTTGCTGTAGGTCCCGCTTATTATCGATAATTTTAATTAGCAAGGCGCGAATAAAAACTATCGGGAATTTATTGTGGCCTAAGCGCAACGAACGTGCCAAAATTAAGGGGAAATTTGAATACTGAACATTGCAATGCATCGTGCAATTTATTTGCCTTTCAAATTTCAGAAAAGAAGCAAGAATTTGAACTGCATCCAGAGTACATTGACTCACTGTTTCATAGAGCATCAACCTTCGCTTTGTTTGATGTAAGTGATACACTAATAATATCAATTTTAATTTTAAATTTGCAGGCCAAAGCCAAACGTCTCTTGGAAGACTTGACTATTCGGGATAAAAATATTTACAGCTCTTGTCACAGAAGAGCAAAGAATGTCATTGATATGGCAAAGTGTGTGGAAAGGCTTCTTGATGAGCGGGACAAAAAAGAGGAAACTAAAGAATCAATGAAGAAACACAAAAAAGTAAACTCGAGATGTGAGGTTCAAGACGATGACAATGATGGAAGCTGGCTTCGCAATATATTTTCAGCAATATTTCGAAGGTTTACTTGTTCTGATGAGACCGAAGATAGTATGTTTCTTCTTTACATGTCATTCAACTTACCAAAAATTCAGAAAAAGTTGCAGAAACTTTTTAAAATTATATAGATTCATGGTGACATTTCCTGTTTAAAAAATATCTCACCCGGATTCCATTTTCTAGTTGTCTTGAAATACGTTAAAACTTGTGTTAACATCGCGAACTTTAGAAGATAAACGATCAATTTTTTCGTCTCTCTCGCCGTCAATTTTCATTAATCGAACGTTTCAGCCGCAGTGAAAGAAAGGTCAAGCCGTCTGGAGAAGCTACAGTCTCCCAAGAAAGACATCAAAATCCGAAGACTAAAAAGTAAAAATTCAAACTACAAATCACGTTTGGAAAGGTTGGAGAAAAAGAGGAGATTGGAGAAAATCAAGGAAAAATTGGCAAAAAGAAAGAAACGACATGTTAGTAAGTTTTGAGGCTACAATCTACAGCATTTTTGTTCAGCGTACCATCGAGTATTCAACGTTTCCAGGCGTTGTGAGGTGCCTAAAAACGTCAAGACACTTAGAGATGTCAGGGATTACTTTGAGCAGATGAACCACGTCATCAGATATACCTATGGTGCCGGGAAAGACAATGAGCGGTAAGAAGATAGCCTTACTATATTAGTCATCATAAATTTATAGATTTCTCAGTAAGATGGATATGAATGTCACGTTTAAAAATCGCCCTCCAGACGGACAGAGTCCTTATGAACAACTAAGAAAGAGTTTGGAAGACATTGAAAATTACGATGATAAAGGAGTTGTTTCTGTTCTATCCCCAAAGCTCTTCAATATTCTGCCGGAAGGCCCTTTGGATCCGGAATCCAAAAGATGGCTCTCTCCAAATATGTTGAGCTTTCAAGACGAGGGAATGATCCCTTTGCCGAGGTTGTTCAAGGTATGATCAAGCCAATTTACAACTCCAAAAATGATAGAAAAACAGTTTATTCTTCTTTTTTTCAGTGGAGTAAATCGGATGACTGCGAAACTCAACGGTGGATCGAGCTTCTACTCGATATTACTGGCGGCAGCCGACTGCTTGGGGGTCATGTTCGTCGGTTTGGCAAGCATATGAGATTACTCAAGAGAGATCTCTACCCCAGGATAAAAAGATCAGAAGAAACGGACCAACAAATATCAGAAATTAGAAAACTGACCACCGAAGAGCAACAGAAGCATATGCAGAAGTTTGGTTATGCTCCAATGAACAGAGAGCAATTGGAAATGGCCTATGGAGAAAATGGCAAGAAATCATAACTTTTGCAGACTTATTTCCCCCTTTTTTAGGCATGCATCCAATGAATGCCGACCTTGATAATCCGTTTTTCGAAAGCGACCGTAATCTCGAACTTGCCGTCCGACAGTTAGCCAACCTAACACCAGAAGAGCTGTTACAAATGGCCGAAGAAGAAGGGAAAATCCCTCCAAGAACTACCGCTTCCCCTCATCGATTCAAAAGAGCAACAACAGCCGCGCCAAAGCGGAGACCGTCCATTTTTGATTTCCGATTCGTAAACCCATTCGCTTTTGTGTCTCGGATTAATAATCCGAATTTCTTGGGCAACTATATCGTCTCGCCATTCGCCTTTTATCTACAGCTGTTCTCACCATACATGCTGGGGGTAAGTAAAGTTTTTTTTCGTAAAATTGTATAAATATTAGGGTGAACCAAAAAATTTTTCCGATTTTTTATTTAAAATTTAAACATAATTTTACAACAAATGAAAACCGAAATAAAAATGTTTATTTCGGACCAAAAGAAGAGAAAATAGGAAAAAATTTTGGTTCACCCTAATAGAGCGCTCTGCCACTATTCCAACCCCTATTTTTAGACCGACGTCATCTCGCCTCGATTTATGGTGGCCACAATCTTCTCGCCGATCGTGTTGGTCTTCCGAGTCCTCGCTCCAACCGCCTTCCAACTACAGTTGTTTTCCCCGCTTCTTTTGACCAGTTGGGTGTTGGCGCCAGAGGCATTTTTGGCAAAAATTTTTTCCCCAAAAGTTCTGGATGGTCGTGCTTTGTCGCCAGAGGCATTTTCGGCGATTGTGATGAGTCCTGGAGCTGGAGTTCTCCGTGTTGCATCGCCAAATGCAATGAATGTACTGGTTTTATCTCCATCTTTCTTTACATACGGTCTGTTTTCGGGGAATCGATACGTTTTGCAGGTTTTATCGCCTGGTATTTTGGGTATAGATTCTCATCCGCTTTTGAAACCCAACCCATTTTAGAGAAAAGGATTTTTAATTTTCAAATTTTCAACCCAAAAAACATTTGCTCACTCCGTCAGATTTCATTCCAATTTCAAAAATTTAATCTTATAATAACGTCATTCGTCAACCAGTAATAATAAATTTACAACAATAAATATTCGTTCATCCGCTTTGTTTTTGAACCAAATGGTAGTAAACGCCCTTTCTCGCAAGCAGTTGTTGATGTTTCCCCATTTCGAACACTCGTCCGTCCTTTATCACCGCAATTGCATCGGCTTTCTGGATGGTGGATAGTCGATGAGCTATCGAAATTACAGTCCTTCCTTCACTGGCCCTATCCAACGCCGCTTGAACTATTTTTTCGGACTCCGTATCCAACGCAGAAGTCGCTTCGTCGAGCAGAAGAACTTTCGGGTTTCGCACCACAGCACGGGCAATGGCTATTCGCTGTTTTTGGCCGCCGGAAAGTTGACCGCCTCTGGCTCCGACCGAGGTTTCGTAGCGCTAAAAAATTCAAATCTAGGTTCTGTACTCTTCGGAGTTTGTGACTTTGGATTATTTTTTAGCGTTGTTGTTCGCAGCAAGTACAAACATTCGCAGAATTGAGCGTAAGTTTTTCCACTGGAACAAACCATTTCGGAGAAATGAATTCATAGTTTGGGGCCGCTCTAGCCGCGAAAAGCCTTCATATTCTTTGACAAAATTGTGGATTATTTCCACGACAGATCAATCTGATTTTTGCGTCAGACGCGCCCTTGAAAGACTTTACATTTTTTTTCTTCTGTCTAGTCGATACAGCTCCCTATCACGTAAATCCAGCGCATTTCCTGAACCGTTTCGAAACTTCGTATCGTTTTCATTGATTTACAGGGTGGGGCATCTTTGTGGCCCGATTTGAATTGGCTATAACTTCTTTAGTTTTTGGCCAAATTTTAAAATTCTTTTTTTCCCTGAATCGTCAGCCAACCCCATTTTGTTAGATACCAAATATGTTATACATAGTAAGTATATCTACAGTTATTGGATTTATTCTTGGAGTTCATTTTTTCGGTCGTTTTTCGGTTGTTTTTTCGGTCTTTCCCGGTGTGTCCGAAAATGGAGTCCGGTGTGGAAGAAAAGGCTTGGTCTGTGGTTTGGTATAGCAAGTACGGTTCGGCGATAAATTTTCAAACGGGGATACCGCATAAAATACGGACGTAATGCCTAACCTCCAGATCGCAAGACAATTCGACGTTCGTGGAATAAGTTTCTTGAGACTGGCAGCGTTAACAGGAAACAAAAAAAGCAGGAAAGATGAGTACGAACGGAGCTGAAAATTTAAGAAGTTTTGTCAAAATTCCGAGAAAATCCGCATATGAGTACACGAAGTTTGGCCAGAACCGAGGGAATGCCTTCAGCATGGACCATTCGACGAACTCTGGAGGTTGATCTTCACTTTTTGTTCTTATTCTCATGGTCGATTTTCGGGAGGGTAAAATCCGCCGTATTTTTCTTCCGCACCGTACTCCATTTCTGGACACACCGGGAAAGACCGAAAAAACAACCGAAAAACGACCGAAAAAATGAACTCCAAGAATAAATGCAATAACTGTAGATATACACTTACTATGTATAACATACTTGGTATCAAACAAAATGGGGTTGGCTGACGATTCAGGGAAAAAAAGAATTTTAAAATTTGGCCAAAAACTAAAGAAGTTATAGCCAATTCAAATCGGGCCACAAAGATGCCCCACCCTGTAAAAGAGAGAAGAAATGTCGCAAAATGATGATCGGTACTTTTTCTGGCCCGAAATACTTGCTTTTTCTCGAAAAGGAAGAAGAAAGATAAGAAAATTCTTTTTATCGGATAGTGACATTTCGTTTTGAACGAATCACCAAAAAGGGGCGTGAACTTTTTTTCTTCTGTTTTGGATTGACGTGCGTATACCCTTCATTGTCTCCGTAAACACATTTTCCCAGAAAACAAATTTTTTGAAACATAGCCAAGAAAACAAACAGTTCTTTCTTACATTTGGCAACGAGTCGATGAATTCATGCACATTCGCCATCTTCGCCGCCTCCACCACTCTCTCCATGTCCACACGCTCCAATCCATACGTAATATTCTGCAAAATGGACATGTTGAAAAGCGTCGGTTCTTGTGAAACAAGCGCAATGTTATTCCTCAAATGCCGAATGGAAATTTGCCGGAAATTGTGGGAATCAATCAGAAGTTGCCCTGCCAGAATCTCATAATATCGTTCAAGCAGTTGGATGGTGGTCGACTTCCCGCATCCAGATGGGCCAACCAAGGCCAGAGTCTCGCCTTTATTGGCTTGAAGGGTAAAGCCGTTGAGGACGCGGTGTTGGGGATTGTTGGGGTAGGCAAAGAAGACGTTTTCAAATTTGATTTCACCTTCGATTTCCTGCAAAATATTATAAATGGGGATCATGCTGAATTTTCTCTAATTTTTTTTTAAGAAAACTTTTTTACCGGAGTCAATCCTCCTTCGGACATTGAGTCGATCAACGGTTCTTGTCGCATAATTTTGAACAGTAATCCAGCCGCAACTCTGGCTCTAATATACTCTGGTAGATACGAGGATGCATTGATAATTGTGATCGCTGCCATATTCAGCGCTTCTATTACTCTAAACCCAATTTTAGATCTCACAAAGTCCCCGTCAACTCACTGAAAAACAACATAAGGCTCGATGAGTCCGGCATTGACCATTAACATGCCAAAAAAGTACGATCCGGCAAAATTAATGGACATAAAACAAGTCCCAATTCCATACGAGATCGATTGGATTAGTCCTCGAAAAATGGCACGCTGTCTTGGTCGTACTGAAGCCTTGCAAAAAAGATCGTAGATCAATTTTTGGCGGGTTAGGGCTTGCACTGTTTTTACGTGTTCAATGGCTTCTGATGCTAGCTAAAATAAGGTCAAACCTTCCAAAATATAATCTATTTCTCACTCTCGACGCCTCCTCAGCGCTCTCCACATCTCTGGCGCCCCGATGCTTCAGCCAATTGGTCAAGAATACTTGGAACATGACGGTAAAACAAGCGCAAAGCAATCCGACCGGCGCGTATAGAGGGCTGAATGAGAAAGATATCGTAATTCCACAGATTAGAGCGACAAGTCCCTGAAGAACCTCGGAAAGTCGTTGATCCAACGCTGCTTGAACGTTGGGGGCATCACTAGCCAGACGAGTTGTCAGCTTGCCAGTGGCATGCCGAGGGTCGTCAAAGTAGCCGCCGTCTTGGCGGAGGACGTTCTGAAATGAGGGTGAAAATTAATCAATATCTGTCCAAAACCCAGGTTAAGTCCGATAAAATTTTAAGAAAAGTCCGAGCAGGATATGACAAGAAACTTGCTGAATTCTCACCTTGAACACGGCAGTTCTCAATCTCTTCGTAACTCTTTCTCCAGCCGACCCCAATAGCGCCCCTGACGACAATGTAAAAATAAAAGTGAACACTCCCAACGCGGCGAATGCAACTCCATTCAGTACATACTGATTTTCCGTATTCCCTCTGTTCTCCTCCTTCAACGCTTCTCCCAAGGCCAGGAACATTCGGCCATAAATCAAGGAGAATAAGGGCAAGGTTGTCCCACGCAGAAAAGTGCAAATGAGACCAATAACAAAGCGTTTATGCTCCTTGTCAGCGAATCTCCAAAGGTCTCTGATTGAGGCCTTTTCGGCGCCTTCTTCTCGCATCTCTTGTATTATACTGAAAAAGTAAAAAGTAAGAGAGAAATCGTAAAATACGAGTTTGCCTTTACTTTTACTTACTCTTCAGTTTGAACATCATTTTCAACCACCGAACTCATCGATCTCTTCAGCCGATCACTCGCTCTCTTTGAATCGTATTGGGAGATCCTCGAAATCACCGATCCAGCTCGACTTCTCATTTTTGGCTTTTCCTGAGCATCTTCTTCTTCAAACCTGACGTCAGCCAGCTCTTCAAACTGCTCGATTTCCTGCGCTTGCACCAGCCCCTTATACACTCCATCCTTTTCCATCAACTCATCATGAGTTCCTTCCTCCACGATCTTTCCATGATCGAAAACAATGATTTTATCGGCGTTCCGAACGGTCGATAATCGGTGGGCAATAATTATGGTCGTCCGGCCATCAGCAGCCTTGTCTATTGCTGCTTGGACATGCCGTTCTGACTCTGTGTCCAACGCGGATGTGGCTTCATCAAGCAGTAAGATTTTGGGGTTTCGAATCAGAGCTCGAGCAATGGCCAGACGTTGTTTTTGGCCTCCCGAAAGCTTGACTCCTCCTTCGCCAATTCGTGTGTCATAGCCCTGAAATTCGGCGCTAATAAAGAAAAATTACATTTCTCTTACATCCGGCAATCTGCAGATGAATTCATGGGCATTTGCTGCCTCGCAAACTTGGACCATCTCTTCCTTGGTCGCATTTTCTTTTCCCATCCTCAAATTCTCGGCAACTGTGGCGGCAAAAACGATCGGCTCTTGAGAGACAATCCCAACAATACTCCTCAACCAATTCGTATTGAAATCTTCGATTGGTGTGTCGTCAACTGTCACCTAAACATTGAAAAAGCATGTATAATTTAATTTGTATCGCGAACTTACTGTTCCACTGTCTTGAGTGTAATATCTCATCAACAAAGAGATCATCGTAGACTTTCCACAGCCACTATGGCCAACCAGAGCGACTGTTTGGCCAGCGTCGACGGAAAATGAAACTCCTTGAAGGATCGGGACGTTTGGCCGACTGGGATAGTGGAATCGGATATCGGAGAACTTGATTCGGCCCTGAGGCTCTTTTAAAGTTACTCCGCGTTCTTCGCAACATTCAATTTTTGGACGCTAAAACGTTAGTTGATAAATGATTTTTCAGAGGGATAGATTCATTTCTTCTTGAGATTTTTACATTTTAATTTACTACATCATCACCCACCTCATCAATCAACGATAAAATTTCACCAGCCGAAATTTTCGCACCCATTAGTACCGAGATTTGCGGCAAGATCTGCGACAACTGGAAGGCACCATTCAAACAACTCCAAAACACTGCAAACACAGTGCTCGGAGACATTCCACCCTCCAGCACAATCATCGAGCCATACCAAAAAGCGACACCCATTGAAACGAACATGATCAGACCGTGCAGACCGGTGAAGAAGCCGGTGAGAAAATGTTTGCGTGTTCCACTTTTACAGCCAATTTCCAGGTACTTATTGTAGCGGTTGACTTCAAAGTTTTGGGCGTTGAATGCGGCAACAGTACGGATTCCGCTGATAACTTCTTCGGCGACAGCTCCGGCACTTCCATAGGCGTCGTTTTGCTTGCGCAGGGAGGACTTGGAGGTCTAAAGAGGGTCAATTTTTTAATTTAAAAATCGGACTTGAAATAGAAAATCAAGAAAAATTAGCGAGATTTTATGGGAGGTACTCGATTTTCATTACTTGGAGACCTTTCGATGTCAAAAAAATTGGCTTACCAACGCCGAAACGTATGTGATGCAAGCCACCATTGGAACGACAATCAACATGACTGACGCCATTTGCCAATGCATAATGAATCCAATCGTCAATCCGGCGAAAAGACAAGAGAAGGCGCGAACAAAGAGGACGATCTTGTCACTGGCTCCGTCTCGTATCCGGTCCATTCCACTGAAATTTAAGGGTGGTCAAATGATTGAAAAAAATATATTCGTTTTAGAAAGATTCTATTGTATTGAGCTATAATCGGTTACATTATATAATTGACTATTGTGACTTCTTATATTGTTTTTATAGGCTGTAAAAATTGTTTTTGAAGATTACAGTACTTACGATGACATTTTTTGAGTGAGCATTCCAATTTCGTGAGTGTCGAACCATTCAATATCCTGATGTAAAATTGCATGGAGAAACTTTTTGCGATAGATGTCGAGTTGACGTTCACAAAGTGTGAAGAAACAAGCAAACTGGAAAGAAAAAAAAAGTAAATAAAAAACGTCACTAAAATTATATCTGAAGATCTTAACGTAAAATTCTCTATTTTCTGTAACAATTGTTACTCTCACCGACAAGAAGAAACCTGTGAATTTTTTATGCAGCAAAATTTAAAAATGACCGAACTCACCGCAACATAAGTGGTTCCAAACATAATTGACGACAAAATTAAGTACAATATCACGTAATACACAACGGTGTCGTATAACACAGTTGTATTTACTCCACCCTGCTCATATTCTTGTTGAGCCACCATGAGAATACCAGTGATACCGCGAAACGAAATAATTCCGGTCGGAATGGAGGCACCGGAAAGAATGGCAAAAATCAAACCCGTCCAGCAAAGAAACCAGTCGAATCTGCCGGCATACCTCATCTGAAACGTGAGTGTCACGAAAGTGAAAATGACTGAAGGTGTATTTGTATTATAAAATATTAATTTTTAAAAAGAAAAAATCGCACAGTGCAAAAAAAATAAAAATAAATTTTTTGCACTGTGCGATAAAAGTCGAAAAATTCCACTGTGCAGATAGATTATGGTATCAAAAACGTAGCGAAAAAAATTTTATTGGCTTCTAAAAAAAGTCTGATGCACAGTGCAGTCGATTTTTTTTCAATTTGCACTGTGCAGGTGTAAAAAATCGCATGGCAAAGGCCGGTTTTTGCACAGTGAAAAAGATATGTAAAAAAGCTAAAAAGTGCAAAAAAATTTCTACCATTTCCAAGAACGACGCCGATTGATACCCCTTGTCCACCAACGGTTTGGACGCTTTGGATTTCCTCCCCATGTTTGCCAATCTTCCACTAGATAATCGAGCTTATCCACTCTGAAAACGAGAAAATCTCCGCGTTATTTCCAATCACAATATCCAAAGTACTAAACAAAAGGGAAAATTGAATTCATCGAAACAAAAGCGAAAATATGGCTTCGGAAAAGGCGCGGAAGCCCGCTGAGCGCGTAGAATCACCAGCGAACTTGGAGTATTTAAGGCCTTACAAAAAGCTTTGCATAATTTGGGGTGGGCTCGGAAAATTGCGGGTCAGACGAAGCTCTTGAGAGATTGCGTAATTTTCGGAAGGTTGAAAAAGTCACTTTCTGTTTTGTGCAATACGGAAGGGTTCTTTGGCCAAGTTCTTTTTCCGACTTTGGCCAAAGAACCGTTGGAAAAAAAACGAAAAATCTCAAAATTTGACAGTGAGATCTCGATGAAACCTGGTGCATATAGAATTAAAATTTGTAAGCGAAATTTTTAGCTAGCGCGTTGCAGAAGACAGAGGGACCTTTAGGTCGAGAAATGCAACTATTTTAGTAGCAGTCTCTCCTCATGTTTCTTAGCCTCTCGTCCACAAAGATAGTTGAATTGTCCCCTGCACGTGAAAAACGCAAGCCAATATTTTCAAAAATCACCTTGTGATTTTCACGCGTTATTTCTGTAAAATTGAATGCACGGAAAGTACTTGCAGCTTGATGCTCACATTCTTATTGAACTAAGTACCTGTTCAGACCAAACCTTTTGTATGGCATATGCAAGATTACTAGCTCGCAGAACCGTGACTTTTACTCCAAATGTCGGCGAAGGTTTGGTGCTTGTTTGAGAGTTTAAGGAGCGAAAAAATATTGGCCTTGAGAAGGCTGCGGAATTTCCAAAAGTCACAAATATTGCAAAAAACTCCATTCAATATCCCGGCTGCCTTGGAAAACCTAGTTAAAATTTGTCAAGATATGTGACCTACTCACAACGTACGCGAAAAATTTAGAGGAAATCTGAGCGTTCCATTTGACCCTTTCCGCATGGTGGCCGAGCCTTGTGCAAGAGTTTAAAAATCCTCTCAAATCCGAATCTTTTGTGCTCTCCTGTAATAAAGAGCACAACTCACAAGTGACAAGGGAGTTAAACTACAAACTGTGCTACAAGTGGTAGGTCATTCAGTTTGCTTTTTCGATGCAACTTTGGAATTGTTTCGCAATAATCTCCGAGATTAGTGGGACAAATGACGTTTATAAGGCAATGTGATGGTCACTGCAAATTTGGGATTATTTTCATCATTCGGAAACGTGAATAAATAAATTTTGAAGTTACAAAGCACGAAGGTTTCGTTAAACTTAATGCAGTGAACGAACTACAATCAATTTTAGGCCAAATGGGGCGGTAAACAGTGAAATCCCTCTAAAAAAGTCAAACCTTTCAGCACCGAACCCCAAGTGATTGCAAAATTATTCGTCGTAGAAAAATTTTGTTATAAGAAGGCTTACTTTTGGCCTGAAATCGACTCTTGAGATCTTTACAATGGTCCGTTATAGACAGGCTTCGAAAGATATAAGTTCGCACTATAGGGGTCCATTGCATTTGGGCCTCTTGCCATTCGTTATAACGAGGTTTGAACTGTAATAATAGCAATAAAATACTTACTTTCAAGGCATTATCTGAAGCTCGATAGGGTTAAAAAAGCCATATCCTTTACTTGAAAATATTTCCGGATAAAAGCAAGGCTTTTTTCTTGCTTTAAGCGCCGGTTTCTTGGCTCTTTTCGTTTTTTATTTTTGCCCAAAGATCTGTTTACCCTTGAGTGAATTGCACTCCCACAATTTTTTGTCTTCTTGCTTGGCCGATATTTGATGATCTACCGTGTTAGTCCATACAGTCAAACCGCTACAACCAATTGAAAGAAAACCAGAAATTTTAATTGCTGGAGAAGGGTACGGATGCCTATTTTGGCCCTGAAGTAGAGTTCGTTTTAAACAACTTTCATTGTACCGGAGTTCTCCGCAAAAAGAACTTTACAGTATTTGAACTTAACGAAATTTTTATACCGTGATATCCACACCTTTCAGATGTCGGAGTGAATTGACACGACCTATACCAGTTTGTAAAGCCTGTTACGGGCGCAGTTTGGCTTCAAAACCCGTGGAACTTGCAGTGTTAAAATTTTATTCTGTAACATTTCAAATGGTGTTGGTGTCGTCAATTCACTCCGACATCTCCAATTCACTTTTTTTTAAATCGGTGCCTAGTATAATATCAAAGTGTTCGGCCTGTTACCGGCGCAATTTGGCTCCAAAAAAGGCGAACCTTGCGGTATTAAAATTTCATTCTGTAACATTTCAAATGGTGTAGGTGTCGTCAATTCACTCCGACATCTCCAATTCACTTTTTTTTAAATCGGTGCCTAGTATAATATCAAAGTGTTCGGCCTGTTACGGGCGCAATTTGGCTCCAAAAAAGGCGAAACTTGCGGTATTAAAATTTCATTCTGTAACATTTCAAATGGTGTAGGTGTCGTCAATTCACTCCGACATCTCCAATTCACTTTTTTTTAAATCGGTGCCTAGTATAATATCAAAGTGTTCGGCCTGTTACGGGCGCAATTTGGCTCCAAAAAAGGCAAAACTTGCGGTATTAAAATTTCATTCTGTAACATTTCAAATGGTGTAGGTGTCGTCAATTCACTCCGACATCTCCAATTCACTTTTTTTTAATCGGTGCCTAGTATAATATCAAAGTGTTCGGCCTGTTACGGGCGCAATTTGGCTCCAAAAAAGGCGAAACTTGCGGTATTAAAATTTCATTCTGTAACATTTCAAATGGTGTAGGTGTCGTCAATTCACTCCGACATCTCCAATTCACTTTTTTTTAAATCGGTGCCTAGTATAATATCAAAGTGTTCGGCCTGTTACGGGCGCAATTTGGCTCCAAAAAAGGCGAAACTGGCGGTATTAAAATTCCATTCTGTAACATTTCAAATGGTCTAGGTGTCGTCAATTTACTCTGACATCTCCAATTCACTTTTTTTTTAATCTGTGCCTAGTATAATATCAAAGTGTTCGGCCTGTTACGGGCGCAGTTTGGCTCCAAAAAAGGCGAAACTTGCGGTATTAAAATTTCATTCTGTAACATTTCAAATGGTCTAGGTGTCGTCAATTTACTCTGACATCTCCAATTCACTTTTTTTTAATCTGTGCCTAGTATAATATCAAAGTGTTCGGCCTGTTACGGGCGCAGTTTGGCTCCAAAAAAGGCGAAACTTGCGGTATTAAAATTTCATTCTGTAACATTTCAAATGGTCTAGGTGTCGTCAATTTACTCTGACATCTCCAATTCACTTTTTTTTTTTAATCTGTGCCTAGTATAATATCAAAGTGTTCGGCCTGTTACGGGCGCAGTTTGGCTCCAAAAAAGGCGAAACTTGCGGTATTAAAATTTCATTCTGTAACATTTCAAATGGTCTAGGTGTCGTCAATTTACTCTGACATCTCCAATTCACTTTTTTTTAATCTGTGCCTAGTATAATATCAAAGTGTTCGGCCTGTTACGGGCGCAGTTTGGCTCCAAAAAAGGCGAAACTTGCGGTATTAAAATTTCATTCTGTAACATTTCAAATGGTGTAGGTGTCGTCAATTCACTCCGACATCTCCAATTCACTTTTTTTTTAATCGGTGCCTAGTATAATATCAAAGTGTTCGGCCTGTTACGGGCGCAATTTGGCTCCAAAAAAGGCGAAACTTGCGGTATTAAAATTTCATTCTGTAAAATTTCAAATGGTGTAGGTGTCGTCAATTCACTCCGACATCTCCAATACACTTTTTTTTTAATCGGTGCCTTGTATAATATCAAAGTGTTCGGCCTGTTACGGGCGCAATTTGGCTCCAAAAAAGGCGAAACTTGCGGTATTAAAATTCCATTCTGTAACATTTCAAATGGTGTAGGTGTCGTCAATTCACTCCGACATCTCCAATTCACTTTTTTTTTAATCGGTGCCTAGTATAATATCAAAGTGTTCGGCCTGTTATGGGCGCAATTTTGCTCCAAAAAAGGCGAAACTTGCGGTATTAAAATTTCATTCTGTAACATTTCAAATGGTGTAGGTGTCGTCAATTCACTCCGACATCTCCAATTCACTTTTTTTTTAATCGGTGCCAAGTATAATATCAAAGTGTTCGGCCTGTTATGGGCGCAATTTTGCTCCAAAAAAGGCGAAACTTGCGGTATTAAAATTTCATTCTGTAACATTTCAAATGGTGTAGGTGTCGTCAATTCACTCCGACATCTCCAATTCACTTTTTTTTAAATCGGTGCCTAGTATAATATCAAAGTGTTCGGCCTGTTACGGGCGCAGTTTGGCTCCAAAAAAGGCGAAACTTGCGGTATTAAAATTTCATTCTGTAACATTTCAAATGGTCTAGGTGTCGTCAATTTACTCTGACATCTCCAATTCACTTTTTTTTTTTTAATCTGTGCCTAGTATAATATCAAAGTGTTCGGCCTGTTACGGGCGCAGTTTGGCTCCAAAAAAGGCGAAACTTGCGGTATTAAAATTTCATTCTGTAACATTTCAAATGGTCTAGGTGTCGTCAATTTACTCTGACATCTCCAATTCACTTTTTTTTTTAATCTGTGCCTAGTATAATATCAAAGTGTTCGGCCTGTTACGGGCGCAGTTTGGCTCCAAAAAAGGCGAAACTTGCGGTATTAAAATTTCATTCTGTAACATTTCAAATGGTCTAGGTGTCGTCAATTTACTCTGACATCTCCAATTCACTTTTTTTTTAATCTGTGCCTAGTATAATATCAAAGTGTTCGGCCTGTTACGGGCGCAGTTTGGCTCCAAAAAAGGCGAAACTTGCGGTATTAAAATTTCATTCTGTAACATTTCAAATGGTGTAGGTGTTGTCAATTCACTCCGACATCTCCAATTCACTTTTTTTTTAATCGGTGCCCAGTATAATATCAAAGTGTTCGGCCTGTTACGGGCGCAGTTTGGCTCCAAAAAAGGCGAAACTTCCGGTATT